TTTCCATGTCGTTGCCTTCAAAGAATTGTCGAGGCGATGGATAATCAGTTGGTTCTGTGATTTACTTACTCACTGGGTGGTGCACCAATAGATGATACGGTTCCCCTAGTGGGTGATTCACGGATGCGCTTGACTGAGTGTGCGAGTGGCAGCTGTTTCATTTAGCTGGAAAAATACTAACTCGGTAAAATGTGTGGGCATTTAAATCGTTAATACAAATTATGCGAAAATTTTGGATTAAAAATTAGGAATATTTCGTTATATCTCACTAGTTTCAATAAGTAAAGAAAAGTGTGACTAACGTCTAAAGTATACGAGTGGAAATTGCCAATATGAGCTTATTTAAATTTAAGAAAATAACGACCATACTTCTTCAATGCCATTGAAAATCGTCAAAAATCATAAGCTGACTCTGTCGGATTGCACTTAAGGTATTGTCAGGATCTGAAATTAGTTGGGACTATAAGCTACGGTTCGATCAAAAGTTTCAAATCTGTGCCTCGAAAGCGTAGAATGTAAAGGTGTGCTTCTAGAATATTGTTTCCCTTAGTGCCGAAATTGGGTCCGCTTTGCTATTTTCCAGGGCCACAACGACATTTTTCCCTGTATCGTCTTGAGTATTGAAGACTTCCTGAGAGGTGAAGTGTTGGTGAGCCATGAAACATTTTTGAGCTGTGAAGGCAAGAGGGCTCCTGAGCGGTAATAAGGTCCAAAGCGGTGAAGACTTCGTACAGGATGAAATATTCGTTAGTGATAACGAATTCGCAGTTCGTGAAGAATTCATGAGCGTTAAAGAACTCGAGAGCTGTGAAGAGTTCGTGAGTGGTAAAGAGATCATCAGCAATGAAAAGCAAAAGTTTGTAGTCAGTGAGAGGTGGTGAGTGTTGAATAATTCGTAAGAGAAAAGGAATTCGTGGGCGATGAAGAGCTCATGAGGCATGAATAGCCAGTTCGAAATGTTCGTGAATTGAAGAATTCCGCTAAGGTGAAGACTAACTACGTAAGTGGCGAAGAGTTGATAACCCATGAAGCATTATTGAGTAGAGAAGAGAAGAATTTAGCGGTGAGGAACTCGTAAGGGTAAAGGAAATCGTGAGCTGTGAAGCCGCCGTTATAGTTTGTGACCGGTGAAAAGTTCGCGAGGACTAAAAACTACGTGAGGTGAAAAGCTCATGAACAGTAAAAAATTCGTGAGCGCAAAGTACTCGATACAAGAATATACATTATTCTTAGGTACGGCTGAGAACCAAAGATAGTTTAATTTTTATACAGACTTCATATGAATAAAGGTATAAGATCCCTCAAATGTGCCTTTCCAATTTAAGAAGATTTAAAACGATAACAGTGAATGCCAATGAACGATAAGCTGCAGGCGTTGTGATAGCTTTATGACGTCATAGTTGAAGAAGTCAAGCGAACCAAGGCGCAATCGTTTCGGAAACCAGATAACCGTAATCTACTGCATTGAAGTATGCTTAACCAAGGTCAATGAAAACATTTTTTTTACTCCATTCTGATCCTCTTATGCCGTTTTAAAAAACTCAAAGCTCTTACTTGAATAACTTTGTCAAGCAGTGTACTACTTACAAAAAAATAAAGGATTATCTTCTCTTAGCTTATTCTTATTTTTAGAGAATAATTCTTTAAACTTCATTCCAACGCTAATCTGCGTTTGAGCCTCTAAAGTACTACTACATATCAATTGCTGAACTCCCCGCTAAAAAAGTTATTTCTCTACTTTTCGCTTTCAAATGTTTGCATTGTTTTTTTTTAGCGCTGAATTTTTGAGTGTATGCTATATTTTAGTTTTTTTTTAGCTTTCAATTTGGCGGTGGGTGGCAGTCAGCGAGACTACTTTGCTTAAGCAACAGGTAAACAGCGTCTACTTAGTTGATATTCCACCCCGTTTGCGTGCATTTTAAGCCAAGCTGTCAACACTTGTGCGCGCATAAAACAGAACAAAGCCAACCAGTATGAAAATGAAATACTTAAATCAAGTAGCAGGCAGTGCCAGAGCAGCATTTGCACCCACAAGTGGAGTATCATTGCTGCGCGCTGCCCACTTGACTACCTGCATTTATGCGTTGCAGCTCCATATCGCTGGCAAGTACTTGAAACACTTGCAACGAGGCTGCAGTGCCACATACTATAGTATATTTGTTTATTAGATATTTTTTTCATGATGCTTGTGTGCCCTCAACTTCCACTCCTTCCGCGACGACCGACAGTGCACTTAGTTGGCACTCCTTCGACTGCGCGTTCTTTCTTTGTGAATGAATGCTGCAAGTAAAGTTACTTTTATTAGGCCCTACACTTCCCTTTAGTGTTGTTACATCTGCTTTGTTACCTGCTTGCTTGATGTGTACTTGCCAACCTAATTTAGCGGTGGCTCTTCACTTTCAGCGCCTAGACGCTTCGCATGCTTGCCCGGTTTACTTCACCCCTCTGGCAACGCACTTTACGAAACCTCCAACTTGCTGTTGTACAAAGAGAAATTCTTAAATAGTCAGACGATTTAAGATTTTCATACTCAAAACAATACCGCCAACAATTCACAATGAAATAGAGGCTGAAGCCACTGGTGCTCTGTCGCTGTCTATTCACCAGTTTCCAAGCGCTTTAACTTTCCGCTGTGTTTGCTCACAATTTGTCAAGCATTTTGTGCCTCCGCTTGCTTCTAATATACTTACGCCTTAAAGGCGTTTACGTTTTATTTTACCGCTTCCAGCGAAAGAGTTCGTGCCACGCCCCCAGCAAACAATCAGCGAACACACAAGCGTTCACGCCGAAGCAAATCGATTCCCACATTTCACTGAATGATTTTTCTTGTTTTGTCATTGACGCTCGTGCCTCACTTCAGCCCACCACACTCCTCTAGCACTTCAGCTTTAACGAAATGCCGCCGCAAAACTTTGATTTTTACGCTTTGACACCTTCATTACAGCCATTCATTGCAACAATATATACAAACAAGTTAAATATAACAACGAAAAAAGCTTGGAGAAGCGAATAAAGCACTTATGAATATTAGCTAGAGCAGTCCGTACTCTCCGCCGCCCCCCGCCCTCCGTCAACCGCTCTCACTCTCAGCCAACAATTCCCAGCATTACGCTTCACTTCATTTCAACTGACATGAGTCGGCGGTCGCGTGGTTGCGGCCTTTTCCTGTCTTCTCCCTGCGCGTACTCCCATCAGTCCGTGGGACCGTCAAACAGCCAGCGCTGAATCTACTTGCGATACCGGTTTAGTATCTTCAACGCTTTGTTCGCGTCTGTTTTGTTTGTTTTTCCTTAACTTTTGTTTACTCGCATATCATTCACCAACGTCCATCTGCTCAGTTCGGCTGCCGCGCGTTGCCGCTTCTTTACACACAGCTCGGTGAAGTTGCTTGACAACAAGCCATTCCACCTACCTCCACTTCACTGGCCCAGTCGTGGCGAATTTGTGGTGGAGCAGAAAGCCAAAATCAAAACAAAAAGCTAAAAGTCACCGCATTCTGCTTGTTTGCTCTGCGGTTTCCCACTTTTCATTGCTATTGTTGTGGTTGTCATTGTTGTTGTTGCTATTGTTAAGTTGGCTATATGCCTACCGGCATGCCAACACGACTGGCGGCATGAAATGCTGGCGCTGCGTTGCTGTCGACTATCCACAGAGAACGTTGCCTGCGGTCGCTGCTAAGTATTTTCTTTTTTTTGTTGCTTTTATCATTTTTGTTTTGCCTCGGCCTGTTAGCTTTGGCCCTTAACATGGCCCTTTTCTGTTGCTATCTAGTCACTAAGAAATCGAGACTGAGCATAAAGCAAAAAGGAGCGTATAAAGAGAAAAGGGGTGAGAGCGAAATGTGCAACGCGTGGGTGGCTAAATGCTTCTCTCTCACTACTTGAAAGGCCAACAGGAATTGGTTACATGAATACTTTACCGAATCAAGTAAACGTTCCGAAGTCAACCCAACGCACATTCAGAATGTATGAACATTAGCTGGCCCTATGATCGGTTTTTTCGATAGCCAAATATCTTCTTACATTCGTCTTGTTTATAAAAGGGGTCGCACGCGATTTAAGTTGGTTAAGGAAAGGCTGAAAGCTGAATTTATTTACCTGTATTTGTATTGAGAGCTTTTACCTTGTGCACGTCTATACAAAACTTGTATAATGTACGCTAATTTGTTTGCCGTTTGCGCAATCCAGAAGAGACAGCGGTCAACAACTTAACAACAATTGACTGCGAAAAACTGACCGAGAGCTTTAACTGAGAGTCTACAAGTGGAGGAAGCTTTTTCTCTCATATAAAACCTATGTATAGCAATGATGCTCAGAGAGAGCTTTTACTCTGTGCGCGTCCATATAAAACAGCGACGATCAGAGAGAGCTTTTACTCTGCACTCTCCTATACAAAATGTATGGAAAGCTTAAAAAATAGTACATATCACTGATGTAAAATCTATAGGGAGCTTTGAACAGTTCCGCCCGCGGGCGCTGTTTTGAACTTCACTGATGTATAGGAAGCTGTTACATCAGAGACCCCCTGGGAGCTTTTTATCCCATATAGGATCTATAAATCAACAACGAAAATGAGAATCTATAAAGAGCTTTAAAAGCTTCGGATCCGTTTTAGTGGCGATGGGCACTGCCTTGCCCGCGGGCAAAGCTCTTTTAAGCTTTCTATATATTTTATATAGGCGAGCGCAGAATAAAAGCTCTCTCTGGCCATCGCTGGTTTTAGTCGTAACTTATGTAGAATTGAAGGAACGTTTTCTAAAGCCTTTAAGATCACTTCTGTTGTTATTTAAAACGAGTGGAAAGCTTTATAAAAGCTCATATTTTGTAATTATGTAATAATTTTTTATGAAATTCTTTCATCTATGCAATTTTTTCGTCGGTATATTTGTAATTTTTAAATTTTTACTAAAAGTTTTAATATTTGTTTTTAGATTTTTTTTTTTAATTTTCCAAATTTTAATATTTATTTTTTCATTGAGTTTTATCAAACTCCCGCTCCGTCCCATTTCCACACTCCACATTTCGCTATCAGCTGTTGCTTGTCGCTCGTTATGTTTTTTTTTTTTTTTTGAGAAATTTTGTTGTTGCAGCCGGCGTTTGACACGTTGTTGTTGCTGCTAACCGCTGTTGCGGTCGATATCTCCATCGCCGACGACGCCAGTGACGCTTTTTTTTATAGGTTTTTGTGTTTCTTTTTTTATAAGCCATATCGACAAATATTGCTGTTGTCGTGATTGCGCTAACTGCTGACTTGAGTTGACTTTTCGCTTCGTTTTCGTCGCGTCGCGTCATTCTGTCGTTCTGCGGTCTTACCCGGTTGTTGTCACTGACGTCTTTGCTATTGTTGTTGCATGCTCACAGTGCTGCTACTGTTGCGCCGTAGCCGTAGCCGTCGCCGCTTTTTGCCTGCAATTGCTTGCCTTGCTATTGCTTGCCTCACCACAATCAGTCTGTGGATGGATGTCGTCGCCGTCGTCTGACAATTTTTGGGTCTGCCAGAAAAAGCTCCTCAACGCGCGCACACAGCCAAACAGACGCACACAAGTGCGCACGCCAACATATCGGCACACACTAGGCAACAAACACGCGCGTCTTTGTACGCTCTTCTCGGCTGCTCGTGTGCGGGTTTTACGTGAATTACTTACGTGCGTCCGTTGCCGCTCTGGTGCGGTGCTATCACTACACGTCAGTGTGTAAGTATACGGGCGTGAGGACGCGTACGTATATTGAAAACGTTTTCCTGCGGTTACGTTAAAACGTACCGAACAAGCCGCGTAAGTGTCGAGAACAACGCGAGCAAATACAATAGGCGGGTGAAGCATTGTAGGTAGAAAGCGTACACGAAGAAGAACTTGAAGAAGAGCCACACATTAGCGTTATTATCTCTCGTGTGATTTGCACAACTAACCAAGCAACCAACCGGCGCGCACCTCGCTCGCCACCAAAAGCGCTAACGCCAGCGACTGCGTCAGCGCCAGCAGCGCCCCCATCGACAGCGACAACGACACCATCGACTCCGACGAAGACGAAAAGGAAGTCTTGAGCTCCATTCGGTTGTGCGCCGTCGTGCGGTACGGACGTCGATTACGGTTTATTGGTAGTTGTTAGTTGGTATTTCGGGAACACAAGTCTCAAAGCTCAAAAACTGGCGAGGACTGCGTTGGCGCTTGGCATAATTTTTATATTTTTGGAATTTCTGATTCATATTGAATGGAAAGAAATATTAGCTGTTGAACAAAAATCCAACGGGCACGGTCACATCCGCTACGAAGTTGTCCTGCCAAAGTCGGTGTGCACGTAGCCGGAATTAGTTGCGTTAATCCGCGTAGCTTTGTTGCGCACTGCCGCCTGGATTAAGGCTTTCGCAGGACACGCCGTCTCGTCAGGATACGAGCGCTTGCGTTTATGTATTTGGCTTTTTGTTTTAATCCGCGTACGGGATGCGCGAATCGGACGTGCGACGCGAATCGGTGGGAGTGGGTGGAGTTGTGAAAAATTTTTGTTTTTTAATTGTGCTGAAAAGTGGAAAGTGATTGGCTGGCTGAAATGGTTTAAAAGGAAGTGTGTTTTAGAAAAAAGTTTTCAAAGCAGCGAGTCTGTGCAAATTATTCTTAAGTGTGGAAGACGAATGTTTAAAAGCATTTAGACATCTTTGTTTTCCTTAAATAATTCCATTAAGTATTTGACTGACACGTAATTGGATGTTGAATTTAAATTAAAATATTAATTTATGTTATTCTAAGGTAATATTTTTTTTAAGTTGGCAGCCTTAAAAATCAGGTTTTAAATTTGCAAAAAAAAAAATAAGGAACCTAGATAATTATAATTTAAAAAATTTGAAATGTGAAGAATTATGTTTTTAAAAAATATGAAAATCTTTTGACACAAAATTAATTTGTGAATTACTTTCATCATGTTTTTTAACAAAATAAAAACGTTATAATCCTGGCTAAAGATAACTAAAATGAATTTCAAAAAATATTTTTTTTTTTTTTTTAATTTCGAACTTGTTTTATGGACAATTTTTTTTTAAATAGAAACATATTACCTAAAATGTTTTTGACAATTTCTAGAATGTGCACATTTATTTATCTCTTAATTCTATTTTGGGTTTATTTCTAGCTTGCGGTCATTCTAAAAAGCTATACAAATTTTTAAATAGTGATTTTCAAAATCTTAATATAAATATATACGTTAAAGCGGAGTAATTAAATTTCGAAAAACAGTGTTCTGCGTTTTCTTCATATTTAAGAAATTATTTCACAAACCGTTATGTCTGTAAAGCAAAGTGTTTTTTCGTTTTTGTTTTTAAAAGACATAAAAAAATTAATAAAAAAACTGAAAAAAAGTTACAAAAAAAAAATTTTAGTGATAACTTGTACGAAACAAGTCTTTCTTTTCCTCAGTAAGAAATTCAAAAGTAAAATTATTCCTAAAAAATATTTTGATTTGAATACAACATTAAAAAAAGTTTTCCACATAACATATAGTGCTTGTCATAGTTATACGACACCCACATATTGACAAGTTTTGACTATTTGTTTTTTTATTATTTATTTTTTTTTTTTTAATATACATACATACATATGAGTTCACTCGATAAAAAATACCTCATATATACAGGTTTCAAACATTGCACAAAAAAAATATACAAAATTTAATAAAAATTTCACCCTTTTTATTCAGAAATTTTAGAAAATTTTTGGGTATGCCGGTCTGAATAAAAAATGTGTAATTTGAATCAAACTTTATTTGATTAATTAATTTAAAATTTTCGCAAAATTTTTCTACAAATTCTGAATAAAAGGTGATACACTTTATTTTTGTATCAAGTTTGAAGCTTGTATTCATAGGTTTTTTAAATAGAAAAATAATAATAAAAATTGTTCAATATGTGGGGGTCGCATAGTTATGTTAAGCACTGTATGTATGATTAAATGCTTATAAAATTAAATTAAATATATGTATTTATATTGTTTCATTAGTATTTTTAAAATCTAATTTAGAGGCGGAACTGAGTTAATGAAAAAAGGTATTATGTAGATTAAATAGAAAATTTTTAAAATTTGTTTTCCGTTTTTTTTTATAATTTTATAAGCATATTTGAATGTTTATGCCTTTCATAGTACTTTTAAATTATAATTTAAAATGTTTTTCAGTTTTATGATTACTTTTTAAGTTTTAATCGAAAACTATGAAAAATTGCAAAATTTATGCTTACAAAATTTCATTTATAATTTTGTTTTATTTCACACATTTCGCCGTTCTCGCAAATCAGATACAAGTCCTTCTGCATGCGAATATTTTTTATTTAGGTATTTCCCTTTCTTCTGCCTTTTATTTCATTCTGAGTACCTTCGCTTCAAAATGCTCCGATTTCAGCCAATTCGCCAAGCCAATCACGTGTGTCCGCACAATTCGTGGCAATGCATTTTATGNCTCGCAAATCAGATACAAGTCCTTCTGCATGCGAATATTTTTTATTTAGGTATTTCCCTTTCTTCTGCCTTTTGTTTCATTCTGAGTACCTTCGCTACAAAATGCTCCGATTTCAGCCAATTCGCCAAGCCAATCACGTGTGTCCGCACAATTCGTGGCAATGCATTTTATGTATATTTTTTCTGAGTTTTTTGTTTTGTTGTATTTCGCTCATTTGCCTGCTTTGCATTGACTTGCCTTTGGTGCAGCAAAATCCCGCACATTTTCAATGTTTTTTGCTGAGCGCAAGCACAACAACCGATCCCCCATGCACCCGCACCGCTGCCGCTTGCACCGTAAATAAAAAAAAAATCCGAACGACCGTAAAAAAGCAGAAATTTTAAATAAAACAAATAAAAATCGAACAACACGATCTTCGCGCCGTACGATCTAGCTGAAATGCTGAAAAGCGCTAAAGCAACGAAAAATCATATTTCAAAACACAAAGCAAAAAAATTACAACGAAAAAGAAAACAAAAACCAAAAATACTAAACTTGTGCCTTTTCATTGTTGTTCTATGCTTGCAGTTCTTCACAAGTGCCATACAAAAAACCAAATTAAATGATTTGTAAAAACGAAAATTAAATGTTTTACTATTTAAAAATTTAGTTTTTGCAGTCATAAACAAACAAAAAATCAGATNGCACATTTTCAATGTTTTTTGCTGAGCGCAAGCACAACAACCGATCCCCCTTGCACCCGCACCGCTGCCGCTTGCACCGTAAATAAAAAAAAATCCGAACGACCGTAAAAAAGCAGAAATTTTAAATAAAACAAATAAAAATCGAACAACGCGATCTTCGCGCCGTACGATCTAGCTGAAATGCTGAAAAGCGCTAAAGCAACGAAAAATCATATTTCAAAACACAAAGCAAAATAATTACAACGAAAAAGAAAACAAAAACCAAAAATACTAAACTTGTGCCTTTTCATTGTTGTTCTATGCTTGCAGTTCTTCACAAGTGCCATACAGAAAACCAAATTAAATGATTTGTAAAAACGAAAATTAAATGTTTTACTATTTAAAAATTTAGTTTTTGCAGTCATAAACAAACAAAAAATCAGAAAAACCCAAGGAAAAAACTAGCAAAAGTTATTAGCACGTCGCGCCAACTTTTATTTATTGCAATTTTTAGTTTGCATAATAATTTTTTTGAATTTGTCAAAATTTCACTTGGCGTTGACATTAAATTTTCCAAGTGCAACAACACAGCGACGTACAACCTACCGCAGACAGACGACGGCGAGTGCCAAGATGGGGTCTCATGTACCCCAAAGCGGCGCATCCACGAGGCGAGCGCCATGGAATGCCTCGATGATCTTCAAAGTGGTGGCCATGCTGCTGATATTGCATGCCACATGCGGCACCGACCACACGGCAACAGCTAAGGTGAGTGACAGCGATATGTCGGACAATTGATTGAGTGACGATTTGCGACTTTTTTGTTTGTGACTAAGCCAAAAAAAAGTCGATTACTTGGAATCGAATGCAAAACAGGAGTAGTTCATAAAGTTTTGGAAAAAGTTCAGGCGATAGCGGTAATTTCTGCCTACTCATCTCAAAATTAATATTTTTTGTATTATGACACTATTGAAGTAAATGAGCGATATTTATGTAAAATTATCAGCCTCTATGCAAATTTTGCTCTATTTCATCAATGCTTGCGTCATATTTATTTTCAGCGCATTCCGTTAAATTTGTTAGTATANTTGTGACTAAGCCAAAAAAAAGTCGATTACTTGGAATCGAATGCAAAACAGGAGTAGTTCATAAAGTTTTGGAAAAAGTTCAGGCGATAGCGGTAATTTCTGCCTACTCATCTCAAAATTAATATTTTTTGTATTATGACACTATTGAAGTAAATGAGCGATATTTATGTAAAATTATCAGCCTCTATGCAAATTTTGCTCTATTTCATCAATGCAAGCATCATATTTATTTTCAGCGCATTCCGTTACACCGTTAGTTGCTTTTGATTACATTCATGTGTACCTACATAGGTAATAGCTTGTTAGCAAGCGAACTAAAAAAAATGAGTCACTGCAAGTTTCTGTACTCTGCGAGCAGTTCTCATGCGACAGTACTAGTTTTTTTATTATTTTTCAAATTTATTTCCTATCAGCAAACAATAATATAAGATTTACTTACGACATTCCTGCTGCAGATAAGCAGTTGGCGATAGTTGATGGAGTAAGCGAGTTAATTTTAGAAAATTTGTCTAACATGTAAATATTGGCTTACTAGAACAACCCAACGGCGCTGGCGATTGCAAACGCTGGGAGATATTTTGCCTTTTTACACTTTTAAAATACTGTACATACAGTGCTGTGCACTCACATAGTGGACTTTAATTCTGAAGAAGTAACAACGAAAAAAAAAATACGTTGAGAAATACCAAAAACGAGTTTTGCCAAATGAACATTTGGCAAAAGAGTTTTCTCTAAAAATATATATCTCTCAANCATCTCAAAATTAATATTTTTTGTATTATGACACTATTGAAGTAAATGAGCGATATTTATGTAAAATTATCAGCCTCTATGCAAATTTTGCTCTATTTCATCAATGCAAGCATCATATTTATTTTCAGCGCATTCCGTTACACCGTTAGTTGCTTTTGATTACATTCATGTGTACCTACATAGGTAATAGCTTGTTAGCAAGCGAACTAAAAAAAATGAGTCACTGCAAGTTTCTGTACTCTGCGAGCAGTTCTCATGCGACAGTGCTAGTTTTTTTTTATTACTTTTCAAATTTATTTCCTATCAGCAAACAATAATATCAGATTTACTTACGACATTCCTACTGCAGATAAGCAGTTGGCGATAGTTGATGGAGTAAGCGAGTTAATTTTAGAAAATTTGTCTAACATGTAAATATTGGCTTACTAGAACAACCCAACGGCGCTGGCGATTGCAAACGCTGGGAGATATTTTGCCTTTTTACACTTTTAAAATACTGTACATACAGTGCTGTGCACTCACATAGTGGACTTTAATTCTGAAGAAGTAACAACGAAAAAAAAAAATACGTTGAGAAATACCAAAAACGAGTTTTGCCAAATGAACATTTGGCAAAAGAGTTTTCTCTAAAAATATATATCTCTCAACTCATTATTTGGTTATAGTTACCATATATTTTTAGCTTACTTTTTTCTGGGTGTCTTTTAAACTTAACTCAACTACAGCGCCGCGCAGTGGAAGGACAAAATATGGCAAAAAGTACTTACCAATTGAGCTCCGATTTGCTGTAATTTGTTACTTGTGGCATTTTTGCATAGGAATCAAGAAATGTGAAAAAATCGCACATTACACTACACTGCACTACACTACACTAGAGTTGTAAATAGTGAATGTTATCCGATTTTACTACAAAAAATTTAAATCTGAAAGATGTTCAAAATCGGCCCACTGACATGTCCACCAGTCATAAAAATTCATTTTTAAAAAACCAAATTTTATCAAATTCGGCACAGAACCGACGTCAAGTGCCCGTTGAGTACTTTTGGTGGCCATTTTTGGCATTTTAGGCATGTCTAGGGTCTAGCAAACCACTTAGTTGGCTATTTCGAGACCTTTCGAAACTTGGACTTTCTGCCACTTTCGTAAGCCTTAAATGGAATCGTAAATACCATTTTTACAAATATCTCGACCCCTGCATTATTTTGCGATTCCAAATGAAACCCCCAAACCTCCCCAGCCATGCTCACCACAACTCGCCAGATAAGCGTTGAAAAGTCGAAATTATTCAAGTAAATTTCTTCGGATTTTGACTTAAATTCAAGGCCTATGAAAACTAAAATGTATTGTAAAGAATGCTGTACAGAAGCGTTCTAGCATCGGATTCCATTGAAGATCTTAAAAGTTTTGTTAAATAAACTCGAAAAGTACCAGACTGTATGAGTTTCATTTAAAGCAATCTTTAGTGACCGGCGCGGTTCGGAAATGGAGATCATTGTGCCTTAGATATTTTTACTACAATCTATTTAAGTTCTTTTGCAAAATACAAAAAAAAAAATTTACCGAAAAAGTGATCAAGAAAGCAAAGAAATTATTTGTCAGCTCTCGAGGATCGAGAAAAGAACCAGTGATCTCCTAAAGCTGCACACATTTGCAATGGTCGCATGTAAAATATACTCCAAAGTTTTGAACTACGCTTTTTTCCTGGCCCTGCCAAAGTAGTAAATTTTTTTTTTTAATTTTCCTGCGGATAGAAAGTAGTTTACGAGAATAGTACTTTGGTAGTACATACAAATATGTCTAATAAAAGGTAAGCTCACGGGGGGCGATCACTATTTCATGAAATTATTAAAACATATATCTTTAATTTAAGCCCTCTCACGTAGAGATGAAAGACGGACAATTTTTAAATCTGCGTCTAAACGGATCTGGAAGCTATTGTATCACAAGAAGTAAAATTAAAAATCACACATTAAGGATCTTTTGCATCATGTCTGGTTGACACTCACTGTGCGTTAAACATCGTAAACGAAGTGATTGATTCCATAGCAATTCCAAAATCTTATTATATATTATGCTATTTTTACAACAACAACAACACAAAGCTCAATCACTAAGTATAGAGTTCTTGAAAATTCGAGTACGCCAAAGTAACGGCAATTTAAAGGATTTGTAATTGCAGAAACAAAACTAAACAATTTCAAAATGTTGTTAACATAAAAAAATTTTAATGGATTAATAATATTTTCTTTTTACAAAGGCCATACAATTTTATTACCTTGGTCTGCCAACCATCAGCTATGAAATGGGCATCAAAAATTTATGAAATTTGTTGCCAGCCAACTAAAATTATTTCACAGCGCTCGTGTAAAAATGAGTACATGCAAACTGTCTATGTGTTTAGTATTTATGTATGTATGTATATGTAAACAATTTTATTATAAGATAATCGAATAATTAACACCTCCATGAAATTTTATTATTTACAAGCAAAAATCTATATAAACATACTCACATACATACCTTAAAATATACCATTTATAGTTGGGGATTAAAAAAAATTTAGAAAAAAAATATAAAGAATCATTTGATAGCAAAGCAAACATGATTTTTTTTAGTTTTAAATTGGTAAAAAAAGATATAAACATACAAGTACGGGGCGCCTACATACCGACTGCTGAGTGGAAGATCGACCTATCTCGGCAGCCAGTTCGACAACGCTTTATCTCAAAAAACATTTCAAGAACGCCCTATTTTAGAATTTTATTGAAAAACACCCTATCTCAGAATTTGGTTGAAGAACGCCCTATCTGCCTTCAAAATGTATTGAAAATGTGCTGATATAGGGCGTTTTTGAATCAGCAGCTGAGACAGGGCATTTTTGAAACGAATTCTGAAATAGGGCGTTCTTCAACCAAATTCTGAAATATGGCGTTCTTTAAAAGTTTATTGAGATAGGTCGCTTTTCCGCTCAGCAATCGATACATACTTGAATAGTATGCAAAGCAGAAATTGCAATACACCTAGAACGTACATACATATCTTTGCATCCGTTTATTTTTCCTTCTAATTGAATAACATTTCCGTTACATATTGGGATTAACCACGCCATTGTCTATGAAAAAATCAAACTTATTTCTATTTTCTCAAGGACGTGTTGTTCCACTTTTCGAATGCCGTAACACCGGATCTCTAATCTCATAAATCATATTTCACATCCCCGAAAAAGCAGAAGGCACAAAAATTTAAGAAATTAAAAAAATACAAGATTATACTAAATTTAATCGCTTCTTTAGGTTAGCAACTGCAACATTAAACAAATCTGAATAAATGAGTTCAATAATAAAAGTTCAAGCTCGGAAAATAATATATTGGGCCAGGTTATCAGTGACGGTGAAGCCAAGACAGAAGGCAGCCGAAGAGACATTTGAAGGCAAAACGGGCATAAATTAAAAAAATTAATAAAATTAAATTAAATAACAAAACATTTCAAACACTCTGCGAACACCTACACGAGCATAACTTAACACACACACACACACTTACAGGCGTTGTGAACGGCGTTGTAAAAGCTTTAGGTTAGCCAATTTAGCAAATAGCAAATTATGCTGCTGGCGCTGAATGCGACTTTTTTGGTCGACGTTGGCTGGCAGCGCGGTCTCTGCTAACGCCAATTGCCGCCAGAATTTCGCGTCCGGCCAGCTCTTCGGCATCGACAGATAATGCACGCACACTAACGCAACTTGCCTGTGTGGCTTGGCGTCTTATCAGCGCGACAATGGCAAAGCCGTGCAGGCAGATGAGCCAATTTAATCGCCCAGCAAAATCGGTGTCAGAAAATGAATGAAGAATTGTTTTTTTTTTTGCAAGACATTTTGGCCTATTAAAATGGCAGTCTTTGTATTGAAAAGTGTGTGCTGATAGTGTCTA